TGGGGAAACTGTTTTGTAGCACAGAATGACCTATCCTAGGTCGAACATGCAAATCTGAACGGGGATGCTTTTGCTTTGATTGCCTGTTCTCCTCCCGCTCCATTAGGACAAGGGTTTGAACATGGTACTAGCCAGGCACATCACTTGCTTAGTCCGATGGCTCGGCATACTGCCAGCCCGAGAGCTGGAGGAAACGATCTTACGACACAAGGATGCCTGGGAGAGCAAACAGCAACTGCAGAATGGAAGTTAATGGAATATGTTTGGACTATCTTGGACATATATTTGCGTTCAGGTGGAGAGTGTATCTTGCACAAACCGGAGAAGCTCCTGCATTAAAACACGGCATCCGGTAGCAACGTTGACAAAGAAGTGCAGAGTCGGGGTAGAGGCAAAAGAGTGTTAAGCTAGATACTTAGCCGCCCAGACATTTGCGAGAGCGTGCACCCTTGTCAGATACGGCTTTGCTGTGGGTAGGTGTGGGACACAGGAATTGCTTGTGCCAAAGGGCTAGGAACTCGCAAACGTTTCAGGTCGAATCTCAAGCAGAAACGCGCTTGCTTTGCGGGCAGCTTTGTGGAAGCACCGAGCTCTGCCAAGGCTTCATCATGCTGGGTGCATACCAGGATTCAAGGCCAGTTTGTGGAGGGAAGGCCAAGGTGAACTTTGGGATGAAGGACCCGCCTCGTGTGGACACGTATGCCTTGAGCTGAAATTGGTTGCCAGTGTACCTTGAGCAAGACTTGAGTAAGAAGAAGCTGTGCATTCATTGTGTGATTTTTGTGAAGGATGTGTTTGTGCTGCTTGTGTATATGGCAATGGCACAACGCTTAGAGCCTTAGAGCTGTTCTCTTTTGGTCGTTGTGCAAATTCAGACAAGCAATGACTTCGAGGCGCTGCCAATCCCGCAGATCCTCCACTTTATTTTCCGAGACATTGCATGGCCACTCACTTGGGGTACTGCTGGCATGCTTGAAGCCACATTGACAGGGATTTGCGCAAGCTTCACATTAGCACCCATGGACTGAAACATCAGCAACTCTATATTTGCAGGGGGCTATCCGACGCCAACAAATGAATGGGGCTGGTCCTACATGCAGGCAGTCTGCCTTACTATTGTGGACCTAGGAACCTTGTAATTCGGCCAAAAGAGCAGGAGCAATCAGCTACGAACTGAGGTAAATTCTTACACTTCGGATCACAGATGGTACTTGGGCATGGTCTTTGCTGTGTCAGCCCCGGCATTGAACAAACTCAACAATAAAGTAACGAGAATGTTTTGTCCCTCACGCGTTTGCTTGTTTGTTAGGCGAGGGCCTATTTGGCTATTTGTGAGCGGCTTGAGGCGGAGATCACAGTCTTCCAGTTTTTGCACATGAGGAAGTTGTTGAAGTGTTGCACGCAGAATAGACTGAACGATATGGAGTTTTTTTTTGTTTTCATTTTTTTCGGATTCTGCTTTTGCTGCTTTTCTGCTTTTGTTGCTTTTCTGCTTCTGCTGCTTTTCTGCTTTTGCTGCTTTTGTTGCTTTTCGTGTTTTTGTTTTTCTGCTCTTTGCTTTTGTTGCTTTTCTGCTTTGGCAGCTGTTCTCCTTTCTCTTTTTGTTTTTGCTTTTCCCTTTTTTTTGCTTTCTAACCTTTGGATCTCCCCCCGCGCCACGAAATCTGCACTTCATCTCGCGCCTGCCACGAAATCAATATTTTAAGGTGAACTTCCCGGGGCAAAAGCTTCTAACCAATCAGATTTGCCTCCTGTGCTAGTTCTCTTTCTCTTTACTCTTTCTCTGCTAACTGCACCAAACTGTTGTGATAGGTAAGAATTTCTCTGACACCTACACTATTCCAATGTATTTTGCCAGCTACGATACCTCCCAAATTAGTCTAATTAGCAATTAATATGAAACCTGCACTAGCTCAATGTATTTGACCAGCTACGACACCTGTGCCTCTGCTAAGGACACGAAATTGCCGTAATTGGCTAGGTACTAATAAGAAACCTGCTCTATTCCAATGTTTTGAACACATCCCGAATAAAAATTGAACAAACAAAATCCTGCACCCTATTGCCCAATCGCTCATTTCAAGAGTTTCCAGGTTCCAGGATGGCTTCAAGGGATCCTGGCGACCATTCCGTGGGCCGCCTGGGAAGTGCAAGCATGGCACTTGAAGCTGTTCAGCCCCGATTCAGCCCCGAGCCAGGTGCGTTTTACCCGATGACTCCTTTGAAGGCAGCTCCCTCCGTTCGAAGTTCCATTGGAAGCTTTATTTTTTGCAAGATCTCCGAAGCTGCGAAGCACAGATTCATAGGAAACTCTTGCTTCGGCCGAGCATGTTGAGGCAGACAGACACGGCCATTTACTTTTGATGTTTGCAACAACACAAATGCTGGCAACTTAAGTCACAGCAATCAAGAAATATGAGTCTCACCTTCAGTTGCGCCTTAGGCCCAGGTTTACGTGATGTGGACATTCTCGTGAATCTTGCCTGTTTTTGCCCCGTGCGGATTTACTTAGTTACAGCACTTCCTGGCAGTGACGTCATGCAAGCAAGATTCAGAAGAAAAGTACTTTGCCATGTGGTCAGGGAGCTTCGGATTTCTGCCTTGAGGATACTTTGCAGCAATTTTTTAATGGGCAAACTTGCTGCCAAATATTTGGAAAACACATTCTGGAAAGTAGCACCGGAGTCAAGCGCGGCCAGGTGGTTCTTTCGCAACTTTGGCACTGGCTGCCCAATGTACATGCGCTGGGTTTCATGGTGCGCAACAAACAAATGCTTCGTGAACAGAGTTGAAACAGATATCCACATACAGAAGACCTTTTTGTACAGCCATTTCGCGTCGACTTCTTGTGGGACGCCAATTGACGGTGTGTATATGACCTTGTTTGGAGATGCTTCATTTGTCGGGTGATACCCGTCGCTTGAGAATGCTGGGTCCCATGGAGGTACCTTGCATTTTATGTTTGGTGCTATCACTACCTCAGGCGCGGAGAAACGAAACGCCACAGAGTTGTTGGCAAGATGCAGCATCATTGTTGCTATTCATGTTCGGAAATCACCCTCAGGCCTGTGGTGAGCGTTTTGAGCAAGCGCTTGCCAAAGGCAAGCTCAAGCAGCAATGTTTTTGTTGACTTTTTCTTCACCGTCCGACTTCTCTTTCCTCAGGGCAGAACTTGGGCTGCAGCTTCCCTGGGTGCCAGCATGATGATTGGGGCACCTCACTGAGGATGTTTTGAAACTTTGAAATGTCTTCAGTCAACTCTGCGGACCCAGCCAACTGTATGAGGTGCTGATGGGGCTGCCGGAGCCCAAGAGCTCGAGAGAACTCTCAGAAACCTGCATCGATCATTGCACTTGCGGCATGTAGGGAATCTCAGGTTCCACTATCCCAACAATGTGCTGGAAAAAGGTACCGGGATGGTGCTGGACTCATTTGACTCTGAGAAGTACTCTTGGTAAAGCGTGCAGACTTCCATGGTCAGCGTGCAAGGAATGGGTTTGGCTAGAACTATCTGTAGACATCATTCAACCTTCATTGTTTGTGTCAGGGCCTGAGGGAACTTGTCAAGTACTCCATGCTGCCTGATGCATGATTTGCAAGTGGCATTGCTTGTTTTGAGGCTTGGTATGACCTACCTGCCACTCGATCTTAGTTGGCGCTATCCTCACTTGGCAATACCATTTTGGTCAGCTTCTTGCTTGCTCGGAGCAAGGTGGGGAAATACAACCTTGGGGGCTTATGTCTTCCACTTCTACTTCAGAGATCATGTCTTTGCCTCAAGATGCCTGACCTAAACTGTGAAGACTTGGTGTTGGTGTCATTCGGTCTTCAGGTAGCAAAATGGACGTGGGCCATTTCTGACTCTCTGACCTGGGTGGTCACCTCAGTCACTACGCACCTCACCTGCCTCACCACGTGAGCCGTTGTTTGCTAGGACCCAACTGGGCTTCTGACCGTCCTTGCTATTGTCGGATCTCCGAGAGCTTTCCTCGACTTAATGTTGGCCCTGCGTATGAGTCAGCCAGTGATGGTGAGGAGCAAAAACAAAACACATGTATAAAAGCGTCTGATTCAGTTTCAACAGCTTGGCTTGGCAGTTCCTCTTGTGCCTCTTCTTCACGACCTTCCTGGGTCCCTTGGGGTTGGCAACCTGGATTCTTTGCTCTTCTTTGTTGTCAATATCTTGACCTGGCAACCCACCACAGGCATTACATTCTTCTGTCACCAGCGTTGTTGTACGCACGTCTGAGCCTCGGTCTGTCACAGATGCAAAATTGTCGGCTTTCTCTTTCTTGCCTCAAGACGCAGTGATGTGCTTTCCTACCGTGTTAGGAGTCCATCGCATACTGTCGCGCTGAGTGGGCTGTTGTGCTTGACCAGCTGACTTAGCTTCGACATTGGGTGGTTGACGTGAGGTCAACTACCCAGCCTGGCGATACAGCAATCGTCTGGTCTCGCCTTATTGAGTAGTTTAAGCATCGCTTTTGTGCCGTAGCACTACGGCAATCCACTCTACATTTGGCAAAAGCACGCGTGCAGAGAAAAGATCTTCTCTTGAGAAATTCAGGTCGGTAGGAGCGGGATACTGTATCCGTCCACTCCGTGCTTTGATGTCGGCGTGGATTTGGACAAAGTTAATGCTTCGGCTTCTCTAATCACCAGCCACTCTGGAGCAGCGCCTTCGACAAGTTGTGGACAACTAAAGGGCAAGGAAGCCAATGACAGCTGATGTTGCCGGCTTCAGCTTCATGGCCTCATCATGTATCGAGGAGGCCACTGCGTATGGCAAACATGAGTTTGTGTGAACTGTGAGCAAACATGAACTCCCTTGCAAATTGACAAACAGCAACTGTACTGCTTGCAGCCATATTGAGGCTTACAGAGTTTTTTACAACCCTTGGAAAGACTCCATCGATGTGTATACAGTAAAATGGATACTGGCCAAATTGTGCTGTAGCTTTGGGTTTGTAGTGATGCTTGCAAGAGGATTAGCAAGTGTACAACTGCACCGAATCACCACCGGTCAAGACTTTCTTGGCCTGGTACCTTTGTTATGCAGCCGCTTCGCGGCAGGTGGGGTTGCGGTCTGTCAAGCTTAGTGCCTGTTTTTTGATTTCGTCGATATGGTCCCATTGATCAGGCGATGGCCCAGCGGCTTCAACACTTGCTAGATGAACAGACGGAAGCCAGCAAGGAGCAAAGTTGCAAACTTGCGAGAAAGAGAAGAAGGAAGGTAAAGGCCCCTTTGATAAGGTAAGGGGACCACTGAATGGGGCTTTATATACGACTAGCTGTCTGAATAAGACACGGTTTGTCACGGAACGACTTTCGAGTTGCGGCTCAGATCACCCCCTGTGTTTCAGGGTAGGGGGAACAGGCTGATGAACTCGGCCTGATTTGTTCCCTGGCAGGGTTGTCTGCCGGGGATATCCAGCTACTAGAAAGAGGTGGCTGGACTGTGACGCGACTAGCCACACTACATGGTGGCAAGAAGGAGCTCTTCGAGGCTGTGGTGTGGAGGCTGCAGCAGATAGAAGCTGGCTTCGACATGGACATCGACGTGCTGCAGGACTTGATCGCGAGGGCAAATGATCGGGCCTGCACGCGGCATATGCTTGATGCGAAGCGGGGCGGTCAGGATCTCCTAGAGGCACATGTGACCCACCAGCGAGCCGTTAGACAGAAGACCTTCAATAGCTACGTGGCTGAGGACACCAAGTCCAAAGTTGAGCTGGTGGGCACTGCAAAGAGAGGGAGGTGGCCTACAAGGCTGAGCATGAAGTTGCATATCGCCTCCTCAGACTTGGCATTGAGGGAGCTAGCAGAGCGCCAAGAACGAGATCGGTGGCTGAAGGAGATCCGGAGCATCGTCAAGGCAGCGAAGTTGCCGGTGGCCATGAGATCTTCGGAGGACGCGCTGCTGATACGGGTGGCCAAAGGCCGAAGGCCAAATACATTATCGCGAGGTCTATTTCGACGAACCATGTTGGGTTCAGAGGTGTGTTTTTTTACAGCTTTTGGTTTTATGCAGTTTCAAAGCCTCTTTTTTGGGTTATGTGCATTTTTGTTGATGTCATTTTTGTATCGCAGGAAATGCATTGCAAGAAAGGCACAGGATATTTCAGAAGATCAAGAATATGTTTAAGCATTCAATAAACAACATACAATTTGCAAAGAATCTGCAGACCAAGCGCCGGTCGTGTGGACTTACAACTAAGTCCTCGTAAAGTTGCGTGGTCGAAGAACATATTAGAATAGAAAAACTCTTGCATAGCTTGGTAAGTTTAGCATAGCTCAGCATAAGTTCAGCATAAGTTTAGCATGCGTCTGCAAGTTATGCTGTGCCTGCAGAAAGTTTAGCATATATGCAGAACTTGCTAAACTAAGATAAGAACGAGTTCAGCATATTATGCAGAACTCAGGAAACATATGCTGAACTACTTGCATACACTTTGGGAACTTATGCTGAACTTATGTATCCTTCGTTTTTTGGTATAAAGGTAGATGAAGTTGGTATGTGGCGCAGTTTGCTTGTGAGGTGACACAACTGCTAGAGTTCTAGAGTAAGTCACGCTCATATTGGGACAGAGTCACATTTTGCTGGAGATCCAGAAGCCAACTTGAGCCAACGTAAACTCGTGACTTCTCGCAGAAAAAAAAGAGTCCCAGCGTCGCCGGTACAACTATTTTTTCATATAAACTCAGCACCGCACTGTATTGGTGGTGGTGGATTTGGCACCTGCTGGCTGCCACCTTGACCCTGTACAGGCCCTCCTTGTTGTCCACCCCTGTCCAGGTTGCTGTTGTGGTGGTGGTGGATTTGGCCCTTGGTGAATGCCACCTTCACCCAGTACAGGCCCTCCTTGTTGTCCACCTTGCCCCTGTCCAGGTTGCTGTGGTGGTTGTGGTGCAAATGGCTGAATGCCACCTTGACCAAGTACAGGCCCTCCTTGTTGTCCATTGCGGACCATCGATTTTCAGGTATCTTCACTTTATGCGTTGGAAAAGCTCTTGCGCAAACACGCTGCCCAAACCGTAAACCCAAATAGGGCTCGTGATAATCAATACATTGCGCAAGCATGTCAAGACATGGCTGAAGACGTCAAGATGGATGGACGCCGCCTTCAACTGCAGCTGGCCTGAGCCCCCAGAACAGTTCGCAGAATTCTTGGAGGCAATGGTGGAGGAACCATGCGCTCGGAGTTTTCCCGGGAAGGGCGCATATTGGACGAGACCGTGTCGAACTACTCACGGATCTACGCATGGTTTCGTTTAGTGAAACTGTGGACAGGCATGCGCTTCGATGACGCCAAGGGAGCGCCAATTGGCACGATGGAGATGAGAGAGTGGGGCCTAAAGGGAATCATCGATAGATCCAAAACTTCGGGCCCGACGAAGAAAGTGGCGCATCTTCCGTTCTATGTCAACAAAGACGCGTGGCTGTATGACAGTGCGTGGCTCATGACCGGATGGAAGCTATGGAATGCCACGGGAGTGGAGTCGGCCCTCTTGTCCAGAGATTTTACGCTCCCGTGGCCAAACAAGGATTTGATGGGCTTCATCAGGAAGGTCGTGGACTACCGGATCGCTTCCACGATGTCCCAAGCCCTCTTCAACGAGATCAAAGTTGGAAAGGGCGGAAGAGAAGAGGACAGTGCTCAAGCCGGGCATGGGGGTGCTATGGAAAGAGCATAGCGAGCGAGCGACGATTCGCACCTGGGCTCAAGCAGCGCGAATTCCAGAAGACGTCAGGAGGATGATCGGGAGGTGGAAGCCTTCCACAGATGAAGGCTACGAGAGCATCGAGAGAAACGTCAGGGCGAATGTTCTGAGGTGCCAGAAAGTGTTGGCTGTCTACGTCAAGGAGAATATGGCCAACTCCGACCCCTTCAATGAGACGACAGTGGTGAGGCTCGTGGCGCAGAGAATGGAAGCCATGGGCTATAGTCAAGAGGACCGGGACGAGCGATCTATGAGGTTGCTTATTGCCTTCATGCCGGGCAAGTGAAGGTCGAGGGTGAGGATGGGGCTGATGCAGAGGATGAGCCCGGGGAGCTGGAGGCAGCCGCCGAAGTGACGCCTCTTGAGAAGATCGCCGGCGTGTATGTTGTCTCCTCATTGTGTCAACGACCAAAACCCTCCACAAGATCGGAGAGTGTCACCGACAACCGGGTGTACATTACTCGTCCTATGAGGTTTTGGGAGAAGACGCCCCCAGCACGGCCCAGGCAGCAGTGAAGCCGCGGCAATGAGCGCTCTCAAGAAGAGACTTCGGGAGACGTCTCCTCATCGGAAATGTCCGATTCAGAGAAGGAGAGCACGGGGTGAAGGAGAGAAGCATCATGTGCAGCAATCACCTCGTGAACTACACCGCACGCAGGAAAGGTGCGACATGAAACAGCGCCTCGTTCGTTGGAGACGCTGGGGAGATGTCGCGTGAGATTGGAATCCATCAGAACGGAGGACAGGTAAGTAGAAGTCGTAGGAGGAATCAGTATTTGAAGGGCGAGTCGTGTCGTCGGTCGAGCAGTGTTGAATATATATATATATATAGAGGGCTGAAGGTTGGCCGAGGGTTGCGAGCTTGCAGTTGTGTCGTGTTGTAAGAGGCATAGGCATAAAGTTGTTGAGGCATTGCAGACGACTTGCGTGACATTACAGAGCATGACATTCCCACACGGTCAGGCGTGAAGAGGGACGAGTGGCTTTCGGCGATTGAACGCGCGGCGGTAGGTGGGCCGGTGCGAGTTGGGATGGCAGGCATCGGTCGCGACACCGATGAGCGTCGCCGCAACGCGATAGCGTTGTTGGACGCGGGCCTACATGGATTGCTGCAGCCGAGGGCATTGAACAAAGTGGAGGTGCAAGAGCTCCTATAGTGAAGTTCAAGAATGTGCATGGCGTCAAGCTCGAGGACAAGAATACTTCGGCTTCGTCGACCCTGGAACAGATCTTCGACCAAGTCGAGCAAGGGGAGTTAAAGAACATGAGCTTGGTGCAGTTCCTTAGTCGGGAGGTCTCCGAGGCAGACATACTGGGAGCAACCGTGGAGAGAGGCGCGGGCACCTTGAAGATTAAGAAGGGCTATGGGGAACGCCAGAAGCCAAAGAACCCAGAAGACTTCAGGAGGCGCATGTCAGTTGTAACGCACTCCTATTTGGTGGCAGAGTTGAAGTATCCCCAGAAGTCGAGTCTTCGTGGCCTTCAACCACAACATTTTCTCAAGTTATTAGATTTGATGCTTGGCGATCATGTCCTTGGTCTCAAAGCCCGCGACAAGGACGGCCAAGTCATTGCTACGCCCGACTTCGATTTGGTACTGTCGCACGACTAAAGCTCGTCAACGAGGGAGCCACAATGTCGGAGGCGTTGAAGGAGGCAATGACAGACACAACAATCAAGGAGCGGCGCTTCTTGACGCCCAACGTGTACTCTCAGGTGACGAGCGCCGCATCAGGTCGTCGGGTGGATAGTTTCCGCCAACGTTTGAGGAGCCCAGCAAGGAATTGGCGATCGTGGAGTGATGATCAGTGGGAGCAGCCGCGAGGAAAGGGCAAAGGCAAGAAGGGCGGCAGCAAAGGCAAGCGTCGCAAGGGGAAGCAGCTGCATGACAAGACGCCAGACGGCAGGCAGATCTGCTGGAAGTGGAATAATCCCCGAGAGCGATGTCGATTCAATTGTGGTCGCTTGCATGTGTGCCAATACTGCTTCGGCAACCATCCAATGCATGCATGCGATGGCTCAGGAAAGAAGGACGCGGCCGGTGGTGCGGCCGACAGCGGAAAGGCCGCTTGAAGCAGCAGTCACTAGGAGGCAGCCCCACCTCCTCCCGAGGAGCAGAGCGCAATCGCAACGAGGGGCATACGACGTTGTCGAGTGCTGTATCTCTTCAGCGGTGCATCGAGAAAAGCCTCGGTGGCATCATTCCTGCAGGAGCTAGCAGCAGGCGCAGACATTCAGTTTCAAGTGCATGAGGTCGACGTTCAGAATTCGGCAGAGTGGGACTTAGCTGACAAGTCCCTACAACAAAGATTGCTGCAGGAATTAAATATTGGCTGAGGGCCAAGGCGCAAACTGCAGAGGTCCTCCAATGATACGCTCCAGGGCACATCCCTGGGCTTTCATGGCTCTCGAAGAAGCACCTGCCTCAAGGACGCAGCGCTTGGCAACACCCTCATTCGTTTCATGATGGGTGTCCTTGCCACATTGAATTGGAGAAGCGCCCAATGACATCCGATGGTTCTTTGGTGTTGATCTTTGGCGAACACCCACAGGATCTCGGGACCATCTGGCGAGAAGAGGACCATATGCGAATGGAGGGGTTTTTATTTGGCAGCTGCCGGAACTTCAGCGGCAGCCCACAATATTGGCTTGGGACTCTTTAGTGGCCATTAACCAGTGCTGTTGGGGTGCTCCTTATCACTTGCTTCCTCCGCGATCGTGGGTGTGCCCTTGACATGGCCCACTTTCGATGCCCAGGGCCATTACAGCGGTCCAGCTACAGACCTCTGTACATGCCAACCTACAGTCTCCCTAGCATTTCGCACTACAGCTACCTCCATCTATCCAGAGACCGTGCAATCGCTTCTGCAATCCTGCATCAGGTTTCCCAAGCTCCCTCTTCAGCTAAATTAAAGAAGGGGGAGAAAAGAAGAGGTCGCAGGCTTTTGCTCAATCGCAATTGCCACAGGGCAAGGTGAGGAAGACAGACTCAGAGGACCACATTGTCGAGACGAAGTCGAGCAAAGCAACGGATCGACGACTTCACGGAGTCCAAGAGGATCGATGTGCAGTTCGAGGCGCTTGAGTTCTTGGTTATGGATCGTCTGCTGAAGAAGGCAGGCGAGCTCGACGAAGAGCTAAAGCTGCGCAAAAAACCTCAAAAGAGGCCAAAAGAGCAACTGCGAAGTTCGACGACGGCCCCAAGAAGACGAAGAAGGACAGCTGCGCTGGCAAGATCCTTGGTGACGAAGGGGCGGGGTCGAAAAGGTCGTCGGTTTCTCCTCACGTGTAGGCACTAGTTAGAGGGGGGACGCGCGGTCCTCACTAGTAAGCTAAAGTGGGGGGAAGGACTAGTGAGACCTTAGCGTAAAGCTCTACGAGGAAGAACGTAAGGGCTACAGAAAGGGCTTTGGTCTGAACTGTAACTATCCATTGGATGAGCAATGGATAGGACGTCTCACACAGCGCGCAGGTTTTGCGCAACCACGAAAATGAGAGGCCGACTGTGTGAGTGAAGTGACGACTAGCTGTCTGAATAAGACACGGTTTGTCACGGAACGACTTTCGAGTTGCGGCTCAGATCACCCCCTGTGTTTCAGGCCCACCACCAACCCCAAACACCACCAGGTTTCTCCAAAGTCTTGGAGGGAAGGACTAGTGAGACCATAGCGTAAAGCTCTACGAGGAAGAATGTAAGGGCTGCAGAAAGGGCTTTGGTCTGAACTGTAACTATCCATTGGACGAGCAATGGACGTCTCACACAGCACGCAGGTTTTGCGCAACCACGAAAATGAGAGGCTGACTGTGTGAGTGAAGTGACATTTTTATTCCCGGGAGCGTTTGCGAAGGGTTCTTCTGTAGAAAGGGTTTGCATTACAGATCTGCGTTCCTACATTTGAGACATATATCATTTGTAGGTATGCCACCAGCGCATCTGCAGCGTGCTGGTGTGGCTTTCTAGAGTTGCTACGACACATCTGCTAGTACTGCTTTGTTTGTAGCCTAATTCTGGCTGCAATTTGATCCTGAAGTCCGTACAACTGCGCACTCGTGCCCAGCCCCTTGATCAAGTGAACAAGGAGTTGACCGATTTGCAAAGCTGTGCGCAAACCTTTGTTAGCGCCTCAGCAGAAAATATGCTGCTATGAACTGTGAACTGTTTTAGTGCTGGAAAATTGCTTGCGGAGATCCTGTGTGGTTAGTTGCCCTAACTGTCGTCAGAAATGGCGGCGCAAGCTGGAAGTTGTCGAAGCGTGTAACTGTTGTCGAAGACGAGGGTGGAGGTTGCCAAGGTGTGTATGACAGTCGTCGCAAAGGAAAGGTGGACGTCCCCAAAGTGTGTGATTGTTGTCCAAAACGGAGGTGGGTGTTCCCAAAGCGTGTAAGTGTCGTGCAAAATGAAGGTGGACGTTGCCTAGTGTGTAAGAGTCGTCGAGCTGTGGCCCCTCAGAGCGGCAGTGCGGGAACAAATGAAGTGCGGGAAGCAGCTTGTGGGAGCTGTGGCCGCAGGACTGGCGCCACAGAGCCGAGGGAATGCTTGTATCCAGTCTGTGGCACACTGTCTGGCAAAATTACGTCTGTGATGTCGCTGTGCCGTGCGGTTTTGCGCTTGCGCGAGTCCGTGCCACTGAAGTTGGGGGATGTTTAGTTTGTGACACACCGCGTGGTGAAGCTGTGTCTGATGTCGCTGTGCCATGTGGTTTTGTGCAGCCTTGGAGGAAAGTGCGTTTGCGTGAGTCCGTGCCATTCAAGGAGGGGAGACGTAGTGGCGGAAACAAAGCATGTGTGTGTGTGCCAATGTGGCGTGTCGCTGGGGAGTGGGATGATCCGTGGTGCGGTGTCACGTGTTTAGTTGTCAGAGTGCTGTGCATGAGTCCACAACCAAAGCTAGATGAACTGTATACTTTGATCTATTCTGCAGGCGTGTCTACTGAAACAAGATCCCAACAAAAGTTAAATGAACAACCTTGGCACTTGGCAGGTATGCTTACTGAAGCAAGAACCCAGAGCAACAGGATCCCAACACCAAAGCAACTCTACAACAGTAGTAGCGTGTGTCGTAGTGCCATCTGTTACAGCACCGCCAGAAAACCACACCTGCAAACTGCAGATGTACTTATGACATACCTACACATGCAGCTATAAATGTCTCAATTGTCGTAATTTTTTTTGTTGGCATACTTACATTTGGCAGGTATGCTAACTGAAACAAAACAAGTTCCCATTTATATATATATACATAAGTTTCAATTGTAGCGACACAGATCTGCAACGCAAACCCTTCCACACGTATCATAGGTATGTTTTTTCATATGTTCATATCATTTCAATTAGTGCTCTTGAAGTATAGTTATCCATAGCTCCAAATACTTGTCTCTCTGTTTTTCAACGCTCCCGGGCCATTCGTCTTCAATCTTTTTGTTGGTTGCGGAATCTTCGGATGGAACCGGGTCAAGAGTGGTTTTCCCCAGGAGGCTGAGGCAGTGCTCCTGGCAAGGGAGGAGGAGAAAGTGCAACTGCTGGGATTGTTGAAGCACAAGGACGAAGCGACGAAGCTCAGTCAATGTCGCAAAAAGATGAAAAAGGATCCAACGTTGAAACATTGAAACAAGGAAACATATATAATCTATGCGAAACAAAGAGACAAACAAAGGAAGGTCAAGCCGCCTTTCTTTTTCATTACCTTTTCGTCCTTCTTCATCATTTGTCAAATCATTTGACATTGAGTTAGGCAAACTCATAGGCCTGTCCTTTGGAGGAACGTCGTGTGCGACAAGAATCCTTCTGCAGTTGGCGGTTGCAAGGGGCTTTGCACAACGCCAAAAGCTCGGCTGGGTGCGCCTACGTGCCTTTGAGTCCAGTCTCAAGCTATTTCGATTGCCAAATCGGAACTATATAGTGAACTCAACATTGGGAGTATGCTTAAACTCTATTTGTCTTGATGTGTTCTTCAAACATGTTTTGGGGACTAATGCCAAGTGTTTGACAGAGGTACTACATGCTACTTTGCGCACTCCGCAGCTGGAGAGATTTGGGGCGTGAGCGCAAGGTACGCCGCGCTGCGGAGAAGGTGAAGGCAGGTTGTAATTTTATCAAGACAGTTTCGGGGACTGGACTGGACTAGTGTTCAAAGCTGTTCGATGGACAGTTGGAAGCTCCGAACAGGTCGTTGGGCAGGGGGACCTCTTGCGCTTCTCCTGCCTCAAGCTTTCCATCGCGTTGCGCCGTTTGGCCTCCAAGCCTTTTGCAGATGCAATGTACCGGTTTCTCGGCAAGCAAATTGTTGCGCTTTCCGTCAGCAGCTGGACACACCGAACACGCTTCCACTCTCATCATGCGCACTCCTCGTGCTGCGAGGCTGAGGGTGCATGCCGCTTCCCAACGCCTCGAAGAGGACAAGGAGACCACAAGCTAACAGACAAAGACAAAGCAATGTATATAATTACTGTAGCACTACTCAGGTACGAACCATGCAAGTTCTTCAACACACCAGAACTCTTGTGGGGCCATGAAGCTTTGAGCAGTGTCAATACTCGGGTATTCACGGATGTCCCGAATCACAGCAGATCACCAGACACAACCGCGTTGCATAATGTGGATCTCAGGCAGCCGATCTCATCCATTGTGCTCAATGGGGATGGAAAGGTGCCAAAAGCAACTGGACTTTTGTGCGAGATGCTGGAGGCGAGTTGTTGGCTTGGCTGATCCTGCGATGACAACATGATTCGTGGAGGCAAGGACGACAGAGACCTGCTTCAGGTCGAGCCGGTTCAGATGCAGGCTTGCTTGTCTTACTTTTGCCATCGATCATGTTTCTATCATTCTTCCTTCCTGCCAGCTGTAAGCCAAACATCAGCACAGATCAGTGTTGAATCATTGTGGCAAAGCACGAGGTCACAAAGTTTTGCGTTCGGGTACTTGTCACATCCAGTGGTCCAGAATGAGAAGCTTCCTCCGTTCTTTGCGTTAGTAAGTTGTGACAGCAATCCGCTACAGGAAAAGTATGTTTTTGATCTAACCATTGCTTGACAGGCAAAACCTGCAAAGAGCGCAGAAGTCTTGCCACAACAGGCCTGACCCGGATTGGAGAAAACGAAGGCAAAGTGGGCACACATGCATTGTAAGACGAGATACTACAACTTGCAGCATGTGCAACTTTTGTTCAAGCCTAAGGTCGAAGCACCGCTAAGACAACTGCATACTCGGCTTGAACAGCTTATGGAAGTGGTTTGGGCCTCTGAGCTTGGCGAGCTTTGACAACGGCGCATGGTGGACAGTGTAATTTCGCAAAACATCCAGGAACCGCATGAATAGTGCGAGGGCTTCTTCAAGGAATCTCCCCCCCGAGCTTTCCTGCATCCGGAGCCTAGTAGCCTAGTCACATAACGCTTACTACTAGCTACTAGCAGCCCAACCCCGACTAAGAAAACTATACCAAAAGAAAGTATTTTTGTACTGTATGTTTCTAATGTTAAGTTTCCCCCAAAATCTAGGAACCAAATCATTAATTAGTGCGAGTGCTTCTTCAAGGAAGCCTTTTCCGCCGCCTTTAGCGGGGGGAGCTTCCTTGAAGAAGTGTGAGCTATCCTGCATCCTAAGTAGTAGCTTACTTGCAGGTAGTAGCTACTGCTACCTAGTATGTAACTAATATCTAAAAGTAGTTTAAATTAGATAGTATATTTTATACTATGTAGAAAAGCATTGTAAGTTTAGAGAAGAAACACGTTTTTGACGCGAAGGAACCTGCTTCTCCCTTCCTTGAAGAACCCGAGCCCCGAATTCGTTTGCTCACCGATTGGGCCTTCATTTTGCTTTTTCGAAATCAATACATATAATAGACAAGAAACAAACATGTATGTACAAGCTTATGGCTTATAGATGCGTATAGCTAGTTTCATTGATGAAAGAAGAACATACAAGAACACATCATTGAACAAAGGGGTGAGCCTGGCAACATTTTCTGAGGCCAAAGTTGAGGGAGAGCTTGAGGTGAAAGCTGCCAAGGTGGTGTATATGCATATATATATATGTATGTACATCTATTTTACAAGAAGACCCTTTGCTATTTGCTGGGTAGCTCTGCTTCGTAACAGGCTCTGTCTGCCACAGATGTGACACAGAAGCAGCCTCAGCTGGATGAGGTGCTAGTGCAATCTGGGTGGGCCAGGGGCAGGTTTGACTTTCTCATAGTCTCCTGGCCTTACTACTAGGAGCAAGAACACTACTAGGGGCTCCTGGCATCGCTACTAGGAGCAAGGACGCTACTAGGGGCTCCTGGCATCGCTTCGCTACTAGGAGCAAGGACGCTACTAGTAGCTTCTGGCCTTACTACTGGGAGCAAGGACGCTACTAGGGGCTCCTGGCATTGCTACTAGGAGCAAGGACGCTACTAGTAGCTCCTGGCCTTACTACTGGGAGCAAGGACGCTACTAGGGGCTCCTGGCATTGCTACTAGGAGCAAGGACGCTACTAGTAGCTCCTGGCCTTACTAGTAGGAGCAAGTACTAGGAGCAAGGACGCTACTAGTAGCTCCTGGCCTTACCTAGGAGCAA